TACCTTATATATTCCCTTCCCTTATTTGGTTATTTAGTTGTTGTTCTTCTGTATGTAGTCTGACTATAAAATTTTAAATTTTTAAATAATAATAAATAATTTTCAATTTATTATTTTAAAACAACGTTTTGTTATTGTTCCTCAGTATGTGATCTGATTTTAAAATCAGAATTGTCCAGTAACAAATTGCTCAGAAATATTTTTGGCTTTTCATCATAACAAGAGCCTAATATAATTAACCCATTTTAACCTGAGTAACTTTAGTACTATTGCAGAATGAATGAATAAATGATAATACTGTAATTTAAACACATAATAATAGTAATTATATTATTGTAAAAATTACTTATTATCTCCTGCATTATAGCAAGACTTCTGACATTTGTTAAAGTTGTTACTCACCCACCTCAGCAGAACAAACCAAATAATCAGTTACAGTTTGTTCATTAATTCAAAGTATTATAGAAACTTGAAACTTTTATTCACATCAGAGGAACCCTCCAATTATTTGTTAATGAATTCAGAATAGCAACCTGTCACTGCCAAACTTTGTTAACACAGAACATTTGACTACAAAAAGAACTCTAACTTGAAAGTGAACATCTATCACTCTTAATCCTTGTCTACTAAGACAAAAAGTGATAAATTCTTTTTTCTTCTCTTTTTTTTAGAACACAAATCTTGGTTAAATTAATAGAAGACAAGCTGATATTCTTTGAGTCCTAGGAACCATGACAATCATCCAGTCTAGCCTCTGATACTCACACACCATAGAAATACTCCACAATAATCCATATAAACTCATATCTCTGTTTTTAGCTAGAATATCTCTTTTGTTAGATACTGGATTTATTTAAACTTTTTAGGCAGTGAAAATCCACAGCTTCCCTAGATAAGATATTTTAAAGATTAATTACTTTTACTTTCAGAAATATATATTTTCCTTTTTAACCTTGAATTTATCTCGTTTCACCTTAAAATAAGATCCCTGAATCTCATCATACCTTTGCAGCAAATTTAAAGAGCTGCATTCTGCAGTATTCATCTTCTGTGTGAATGGGCTTATATATAGTGTTCAATAGGTTAACTGTATGTCACATGTATCCAGTAATATAGCTTCAAAATACGTACTCTACTCTACATTTTAATATCCAAGAGTATTTTTTTATGATTATTTAAAATGTTGCTAGGTCGGCATGACCTTCATATAATATTCAAATAGAGCACTTCCATATTCTTAAGGAAAACAATAATTTAATATTCACCTTTGGGCTTTGTTTGACACTGAATCATAAAGTACTTGACCCTAAAATATTGACCCAGTTTTTATCTACTTTCTTGTTATATAGTTTTAATTCAATATATTCTGACTGCCATATGAAAAGCCTGCATGAGCATACAGTTGACAAGACATTGGCACTAATTGTTATCACACAGAGTTGAGAAATGGAGAATTGGATTGACTTTCTATCTCAGTGAGACAGCAACAAATTCATCAAAGATTGTCCCTTATCTCCGTAACTGTCAAAGGAGCTGCAGATTAGGTCAGGAGAGATCAAAGACACGGTGCTTTGCTTTCAGCATCTTCACATCCATGTTCATACTCTGGGAGAAAAACAGCTTTTTGCAGTTTTTATGAAGAAAAATAACAGTCAAAGAGTAATAATGTAAAACAAGCATTGTTTTAAATACTGAAAACAGAGGAAGACCAGTAAATCAAAACCAGGTGGTGATGTGACCCGGCATCAACACCCTGCATGGTCTGTGAGGTCCCTTCAGACTGGCTTTAACCTGGTCCCTGGATGAAACACCGTCACCACATCTATCTTATAAAGCATCAAACATTCATTTCAACTTGCACTGTTACAAAGTGCACAGTTAGAGCTCCCAATTTAGTATCTTCTGCTGGACTTCTGGTTTGTGTGTTAACAAAACTTCCTTTGCAACCAAAACTTGTAACGACTGCAATTGATTGCAGGATTAACCTCAGAACTGAGTTGCTGCTTCATGTAAAATCCCTAGAATAACACTTGTTTAGATAACTGGTCAAAGATTAAGTGCCTCTAAAACAGAGAAGTATGTAACTTATAGAAACAGTGGCAAAGAGACAACTACTCCCATCTATTATCCCACTCACTGAAATAGGACATAACCCCATGTGTCCCGTGTATATAAAGAAGATCTGGTTGAAAATGTGATGCTTATTCTAGCCTCTAGAACTGTCTGCTCAGTCACTGATAGACCATAGAAGACCAGGAAGAATATGGAAGGATATATATATATGAATACATAGGAATTTCTCAGCCTGATTTCAGCAGCTGTAATTTGAGGTGCCAGATCTGAAATTCAGGAGTTTTAGATTGGTCCCTTCAAGTTGTATGAGATGTTCTAGTATCAGACTTGTTGAATAAACCAGCTGTCAAGTGTATTCTACCTCAACAAAACACCCAAAAATTCTAGCAATCCTGGATACAGCATATCATGAAGCCTTAAAAAAGACAATTTGGGAAAGTTTAAGTCATTGTCCTTTTCTCAGCTATTTGCTGTAACAATATAAAAGTATCATAAAGAACTATTATTGCCTGAAAATTTGGAAGTACACTACTATTTAAAAACATATAAGGTGGCCTTAACATTAAGTCAGAAGACTGTGGTCTTGCCCACCAGAAGATCCAAAATTCTCCTCAAATAATCTATAGTCCTTATGAATCAACATTGTCTTTGCCTCATACAAAACAGTCCTTTGGAGCCAAAAGACCTAGATTTAAAAACACTGGGGTTTTCTGCTTCCTCTTATTCTTTTTATGAGATGTCATCATGATTTTATTGCCACTTTTCAGAAAAATATCACCAAGTTCAAAGTCTAAACAGTATTCCTTCCTGTTTGTTCTTTCCTATAAATCCTCTAGCCAGATTTATATCAAAAGCAATTTGAAAATTTTTCCAGAGGGACTGCATAAAAGATGCAACCTATAGACTGTTTTTGTTCTCTTAGCTGATAATTTTATAATCTTGAAATTTTTAAAATTTGGTAGATAACAATGTTCCTAGTTTAGCTATTTGTAGGCACCAAGGGGTTCTATGTGTAAAGCTGAGCAGATACACAGCATAAAATATTTACTGTTTCTCAAATAGCTCATTCCATTTCACCACGGATGATTTTTAGCAAGGACTGTGACTAGAGAGATCTGTAATTTTAAGTAATTATTCCTACCTTTTAGCTGAAAACTGAATTTCAGCTTCCTACATGGAGAAATAGAGATGCTGAAATTTTTATATAGAAGGGAATGCAACTGGCATTTTCCTGAACAGGGAATATGCACTACACAGTATAGTGTCAGAGCAGATTATATCCCATGAACACTACCTGTGAATTATAGTGGTATCCACTAGCACTACTGTGGTCACAGGTCTGTCAGCTGTGCCAAGAGTGCTGTTGTTGCTAAGAGGTGTAGGGACGCAGGAGTGTTGCAGATCAACCACTGACATGTATTGTTGCTAGAAATTGTTGTATACAGTCTCCTCTGGCTTTTTTATTCATCTCTCTCGTGTTCTTCTGTTTGAAATAAGCTTCTGTTACATTCAAAGGCAATCTGATAAGGATGCAAGTTCACTTTTACATATGTGTTAGGTTATGTGGAAAAAAGGCTTTTCTGCCCACACACAGATGTGTGAGGCATTGGGTCAGGCAGGGGAAGCTCAGTAACCTCATCACCTGCTCCCTGTCTCAACATGGACAGTTCTAGGGGAGCATCACCCCGGTGAAGCTGGGGACAAAACCCCTCAGACTGAGGGAGGTGCAGGATTTTGTGATGGGACAAAGAGGAGGAATTTCTTGACATTGCATAAGACTTATCATGAAAAATTTAAGACAGGAGCCAAAAGAGGGGAAAGGAAGTGTTTGATGGAATAAGCATGGGAAAATAGATTAATAAGGTGATAAAAAGGATTATCACATGTGAAGAGTCGTCATACTAATATGTCCATATTCCAGTTCCTCTGTTTGCCTGCCTGGCCATGGCCTGTAACCATCACCCCTGTCTTATTTAATCCCTTTTCTACTTCTTCACCTTGGTGAGGGACCTGTGTGTTCTTGGGGTGGGGAGGACCTGAGTGCTAGCAGCTAGAGTCAGAATGTGGGTCAAAGGGACTATGTGTCTGTGGTGCCAGTAATTGCAGACACATTGCAGAGTGCACACACTGTGAGTGATTGTGTGTCACCATGCAAACCCCAGCGAATGCCAGGCTGAACAAGTCAGACAGGTGTAGGAGTGGACTCAAGTTTGGGGTGCACCTGAGTGTGTAGCTCTGGGAGGAGACAGCTACTGGAGGGACCCAGTGGTCAAGGCTGATTACTAGAGACAACGGGGTCCAGAGACCAGCTGAGAGAGAGAAGAAGACAGTTTGTGCGTGTAATAATCTGATGCACAAACCAGTGACTGGGGAGACTGAGTGTCTAAGACTGGCTACTGAAGGGATCCACAGTGCAGGTATCTGTGTGTCTCTGCATCTGTGTGTGCAGAGGGAGGACCTGGGGACTGGTACCAGCCTTGGAAGTTGTGTACTCAACTGCCAGAAACTAGAGAGTCTGGGATCCAGAGGAAGCTATTGCACAGACCGAGTGTCTGAGCCTTGCTGATGGAGGGACCCACCTTGCAAATGTATATTTTTTCCCATTAATGCACCTTCATCCTTATCAGGCAAGAGGGAAAAGAGGATGAGGTCACCTGTGCTGGGATTTTTTCGGTGCTGAGTGTTATATTTTGATCTGTGTAGCTGGACATGTCTAAATATAAAAACATGATCTGTGAATGCATATGCTCACTAGGAATGCATGTTCACCTCTAACAGGATAGGAGATTCAGCAACACTAACCATACCTGGCTTCAGCAAGTGCACAGAGCATATGGTTAGCAAAAATGCTTTCTGCATACAAATTCCTCTTACAGATAATATAAAAATAATTATAAAGATGCATAAATATTGTGTTACACAAATAATTGTTAAACATTACACCAGTTACATGTTTTATTCTGTGGCACTTTCAATGTCTCATATAGGAAGTGCATATAAATCCAAGGCAAAAATGGCTGGCTTTCAAGAGAGAAGTCTACTGTCTGAGTTATCCCCATCTAATTTGTACAGCAATGACCCTGTATTTGGTATAGTCACCTGAGTCAATATCATGCATATTTGAAATACAACAAAGATAAATAAATAGATGTATAACATTGCAAAAGTTTTAAAACTAGAAAGGGCCAAATTCTGTTACATCCATAAAGTTCTCTAAAACAGTATGCACGTGAGACAGGCAGGATTTGGCTTACAGTCAGCATTAACATTCAAGTCTGATGAAATCAATAAAGCTGCTGCCTTAGGATGTAAATGCATGGAAAATAGCAATAAAGACTTCCTCCATACTGAAGATTACTGCCGTCACAGCAGAACTATAGGAAGTGATCAAGTAAGCACTAAGTAACTTCATGCAAAGTATAACAGATATCTCTACATAGCTAGAGGTAGAATCCTGGGGGATCAGGGTTGGGGGGTGGGGGGGAGAGGAATCCAAGCTCACTTCTTTTTAACCAAATAGTAAAGCAAATATTTTAAAACTGTATTCAAATTTCCTTAATGCACATCTGAATGTACTTGGCACTACTTCAAAAACTACAGAAGAAAAGAGTTGTAGCCTTTAGTTCTTTTGTGAACTGAGCACACAGAGGTTGAAAACTACAAAAACTTGCATTCTTTGCAAGCTCCAGTGTAACTACTGAGAAGGCAGACAACATCTCATAGGATAAGCTGGTATTCCATCGCACCTGAATATTACATTGCATATGTTAAACCTTGGACATTTCATACTATACAATAAAATTTACTCCTACAGGTAGTTCTATTACAATCATTAGATTTTTTCACATGAATGCAGGTTCAGTGGATGCGGAAAATTAGTTTCTGCCTGAAGTTTTCTTGTTACCATAAGAGTAAATCACACTATGCTAGCTGAATGTAGATTCCTGTCATTTAACAGGACAAAGGTTTAATAAAAAACATTTATTTACTTTTACAGTTCTTTTCAGGTCTGCAGAAACTTTAATCAATAGCTAAAGATTAATTTTCTCTTCTTCTTGGCATCTGTTTAACATGCCTCCAGTTTTAAACCTTAGAATAGAAATGACTACACAAGGTTTATCACTACCACAAGGTCTCCTGTAAACTACTTAAAGCCATTCAGCCCAAAGTCATATCTTCCAGCTACAGTCACTTAATGGAGTCCAAGTTTAATCCCTTCTCTGCAGCCAAAAGTGTTTCAGCCCACCAGCCTGTTGGGTCCAGCCAGCGTCCTTGTGCAAATGCAGTGATGTGTTGCAGAGGATGATTCAGGATTTCTGCAAATACAGAGAAGAAAACCTTCAGTCAGAATACAAAGAAGCTGCATTCCAAGATTTGCACTAGATCCTGTTTCTCTGCTGTGCCTAGTGACTAATGCCCAAGGTGGAGAGTCTGTCCCCCAGCTGGTATCGCCATAGCTTTATGCCTGCGAGCTCAGCCCTTTGCAAGGCGACAGCAGAGTGGGGCTCCTCCATCTGGGGAGGTTCTGGGCACACACCACCTCTGCCCTCTGCCCTCTGCCCTCTGCCCTGGCCAGCTGCTCCCTGCTGCTTTGCACCATACATTAGAGGAAAAATGCCAATAGTTTCTCGGCACCCCAAAGATAGTGTGCCTTCATCCAATTTGAAGCTGTGAATTCCTAGTTCACACAGACAGCTAAATTTAGGAGAAGGTGAAATTTCAGGATATGTTGTTCTTACTCCTAAAACCATTTGCAGAATTTGAGCTTAATCCTCTTTGAATTCACATTCTATTACAATTCTCCAGAAAACCCTGAGAAATCTTTTTGTTCACTAATTAAGATCTGTTTTAGCTCTAGTAGTTGTAAAAAAAAAAAAAAAACATCTACAGAGCTGAGGGCTTCTCTTATCTAGTTAGAGGTTATATTTAATATTCTGGTCAGTTGTCTTTTGCATATGGATTTGCTAGATAACAGAGCTGCCACATTACAGTAATCCAAAAATTAAGAATAATCATCCACTTTGTAACATTTTTAACCATTTCACTTTCCCAAGTGAGAGTCTTTTCACAAAGGATTACCTTCTTTCCTATTAAAGCAACTGATAAAGAATTCTGCACTGCACATAAGGTATGCCAAGCACTACTTATTCTTCCTGCAATCCAAAATACTGCTGCAACTCACAAAATCATTTATAGCAGATTGTTACAGGTAAAATGGGACATTGCTTTTGTTCTTTCAGGCTTTGTGTGCCCTCAGGCTAGTGATTTACTATACATCCACAATTTTTAGAAGCACTGTCTAAATTTGATATAGCTTAGTCCATAGATGTTCAGTTTCAAACAAATCAGTTCATGTTTTTGGAGATAATTACCTGTCTTTCTATTTGCTATTGTTGTTTCACACAAAGGATTAACTTTCTTTCCAGAAAGGAAGACAATTTCAGCACTACTGTATCAAAGAAAAGGGAAAAAAAAATAACCCTAGCATCTGTACTACCAGTTAATATGCCTATAGACACAAAGGATTTCAAAATTAACTTTTTTTCAGAATGAAGTTTCCTAAAATTAAGCAACAGTAAACAGTAAATTGAATTGGGACAGCACAAAGAAAAACCTCATGCAAAAGGTGGTCTTTCCTTCCCAGAATGCTGTGTTTGTGATATTTTATTACTTATAAGACTGAAGATTCCAGTAATGCTAGTTTGCCTGCACTTAATCCCCAAAGCTTGAGCAATAAAAATTTGGGTTAAAACTCGATTCTCTAGATAATTATTTTGCCAAAATCATGTACATTAAAAATTAGCCTATTTTGCCAGTCAGTTTTTGCTCATGTTTAGATATGTCTTGACCTGTGGAACTCTCATTTTGAATTGATTTTGTGCATCAGGCTTACTCAGTCTGGTAAGACAACTCTGGCTTGGGTTTCATTCATTTTAAGTCAGCTGTTATGACAATTTGCAATAATATTGGCTGCACATCAAATCAAGTTGTTTCATGTGGAGTTGGTAGTTTAAACTAAAGTGATTAGGGAAATTTTCATAACGTCAATATGAATGCTACTGCTAGTCTTTTGACAAAAATTCTTAACCAGAATTTTGGGGTTTTTGGGCTGTTCTACTAGAACAATGAAAGTCTATTTTTGTTTTAACCTTATTTATGCAAAGTCACTTCTAGAAGAGCTCTGGAAACTTGAGAGACACTTTCTTCACTGAAACTTTCTTCAAAATTTATGAATTTGACAACACATTAAGTTAATTGTGGGTGAAGCTCATAGATTATTTTGTGGGATGTATAGCACAAGATAAAGGCTTTACTAAGAATACGGACTCTTCACATATGCAGCTGCAAGATATAATTTCCTTTAATTTTTGGAACTGTAAGAATAACACAACTTGTACCACATTTGACCACTTTGAGAATGAAGCCTAAAGGACTCTATCCATTTACATCCAGATCTGTGAGCATCTAGGGAATTTTGATTTCTAACTTAAAGCTTAGAAAAGGATATCTGACACTAAAAAGCAGACATCACATCATGTTCTGTGTGAAACTCATTGCCATGGTTTCAGCATGCTCTGTACACACGTTGGTCAGGGCTCCTAATTGGCCCTGAATATCACTTGGAGTTAGTGGTAAATAGATGTCTAAGTGTCTCAGACTGAGAAAGCTCTTGGCATACAAAGAGATCAAAACCTGACATGACCACCACCTCTATAAGATATATTTTACTCTCAGTACAAACTTGCCTCTTTTGCAGCCTTGCAACAGTGGTAAGCTTTGAAATCTATAGTTTGTGTGTCACATAGAAACTAAAAGGATCCTTTGGTTTGTAATTTGGATGTGAGGACTTGACAAATATGTATCAACTGTTTCCTAGATAAAGCATTTTTTATGTTTCTTTTATATTCTTACCATTAAATATGAGGTGAAGTATATAAATAGAGAAATAGACTGATCAGCTGGTTTTATTTCTTTTCATGCTTTTCTGTGTAAAAGTGAATTGCAGTGTTACTATAACAGACCCTGTGAGGGTGTGTAATGCTAACATAGCCAGTATCAGCACCCCCACTAATCTTATCAGCAAGGCTGCTCTGGCAACCTCCTTTCCTACAGTAATTGTCATAACCCATCTTTCAGAGAGGGAGTCTGACTCAAATATCTGCATGCTTATTATGCTGCCATCCTTCAGGGTATCACCACTGCAAAGGATTTGAAAGGCTGAAACAGGACCAGGCAACCCCAGCAGAACCCTGCAAACATTTACATACAATCTTTATGTGTATATGGCTACACATACAAAAATTAGAAAGGAAGCCAGTAAGTATATCAGGGAAATGCCTGCTCCAAGGGGAGCCAGCTGAGAACCCATAGCTACAAGCCAAAATCCCTGCTGTTTTTAAATAGATTGGAGGAGGAACAAAAAATGTACAATGCACAGACAAGATGATGTCACTTCCAAATTTCAGTAGCTGCCTTTTGCACTGACTTAAAACAGTTCACTGAAAGCTTTACAGCACTCCAAACAATAGTGTAAGGGCACTTTTTACTACTGTGTCCCTTCTGTTGGTATGCCAGCATGCAGTAGCACTGTCCTGTGCATCCCTGATAGATGCAGAGGTCAAACAGCAGAATGTTATCATTCTCCTGTACCCAGGGCAGACAGGAGGGACTATCAGACTACCAGAATTACTTGGAGCTGCAATTTTAGCAATGTCCATGTTGAAAAGTGACCAATTATAAAAAAGGATTACAAATTAATTGTATAGCATGATATGAGATATATGTCTGTTATTGGCAGAAGAATCCAATAAACTACTCGTAGTACTTGCCCTGTGCACAAGTACTATAAGCTTGAATATTTGCAGTCATTCATTTCTGGTATTTATATGTTCAAATTTCATTTTAGAGAGGAAAAAATAGGTATTTATGTATCAGTGGAGAATATAGTTGCTAGCCATTCAAATATGAATAGTTTAGCTCTGTTCCTTTGTTCAAATTGTAATAAAAAATTTCTAAAAGGTTATTTAAAAAATTATAATGGTAATTTTGAAAATAAATAAAATTTGATAAGAACAAATTTCTTTCAAAAGTATGAGGATAGTATAATTATAAATAATTTTATTATAATGCTAATTGTTTAACTGTTAAACTTTTTTTTAGTAGACCATTATTTCTGTTGAGATGCACTTTAAATAAAAATCTATTTATTAATTCCACACAAATAAATTCATAAAAATATGTTATGGTAACACAGACAGCTAGACTTCTTCATGCTCCCTGCAGAAGAACATTATGCTTTCTTTGAATTTTTTTTCCTCAATGACAACAAATTTAGTACTTCAGTCATCAGCTACAGTTCTATAAGAGAAATGAGCACATCAGACAAGGTATGTAATAATCCTTTAAAAATAATACTTTAATAACAGCTATACAATACACTCAAAAAGAATTGCATACTTCCTTTTCATTTTAATACGAATAATTAAATTTAGAAATACTCATTCCTTTAATATGAGGCTGTTTTATTTTTTTGTAATTTATATAATAGTGGAAAAGTGATCCTATAACTTATAAATCTCTTAGTAATTTTGGTACAAAGTCCTATCATAAATTTTAGGGTTTTTTTCTGAAAAACTGTCTCTGTACTGCCTGGAGTTTCTTTCTGATAACTCTAATCACCTTTTCACATACAAACTCACCAAAATGAAAATTTCCAAACATTTGCCACTTATGACTCTTAAGTTTCCACATCCTTAAGTAGGGTTGTTTTAACCTGGACTTTTCATGAAATAGCCAAAAATGTGAAGCCTTGGAAAAACTCAATTAGTTTTTACCATGAACTAGTTGGAGGAATCTTCATAAGATATGCAAATCAGGTGTCAGTCATTTCAGAACTATGTTTTACTATAGCTACTGCAGACATTCAGATCTGCTAAAATGTTCCCACATTGGGCAGCTAATAGGCCTTCTGATTCAAAATGTAAGACATTTGCAAGTTTTCCTAATTTTGTTAAGGATGTTTTAAAGTTTTTCTGTTATAACTTTATAATATTTCCTGGTCTATACTGCATTGTAACACCAGCCAGTAAATAGATAATTTTTGACTACCATCAAAGTGAGGGTTTTTTTACCCAAGCAGGAAAAGAAGTCTCAAAGCCACACAAAGATAACACAAGAAAAGGACAAATCAATCAGCTAAAATAGGGCTCTCCTTCAAGTGTTAATTTGCCAAGAGTCACAAAAGGTTAAGTACAAAGGAGACACGACCTTCAGTTTCCCATCTGCAACAAGCATCCAATAAAGATGCTTTGTAAAT